TTGGTCTTAATCTGCCAAACACACAAATCCCTTTCATCTTAAACCATTAAGCACTCAACTAGTCTTTTATCTTAATCTGCCAAGCACTCAAGTCCTCTTATCTTAATCTATCAAGCACTCAATCCTTTTCATATTAATTCTGCCAAGCCCTTTATCCCTTCTCTTCTAGTCTACCGGGTCTTCAACTTCTTTCATCGTAATGTGTCAAATCCTCACTCTCTTTCATCTTAATCTTACAAGTAGTTGTTCTCTTTGTTCTTAATGTCCACAATCTGTCCGTCAACCAACATTAATCTCAACAGTTTGCCGGTACAGAAATCCGCACCGTAGCTGTTCCATGCACAAACGGCTTCTTTTTTTTATGGCGGGAGACAGAGTGTCTAATCCGCAATTGTGTGTAAGAATCGGTCAACGTGGAAGGCCAAGTTTCGTGGGCTTCTAGCATACAAGGGATGGCTGTGTGCATTGGACGAGCCGGAGTCCGTGGACGGAAGGAAAGTGTCAAGCCAAGCAAGGGGGTTGATGCTGATCCACACGGAAGATGCTTATGTGAAGTTGATTGAGGGGGAACCCATTGCGGAGAAAGCGTGGAAGAATTTGGAGGACACTGTTTGAGAAGAGGAGCAATGCGCGCATGATTCGGATCAAGAGAAGCTGACGGGTCTAAGGTTGACCAAGGGGAAAGCCATTGCAGAGTACCTGAGGGAATTCCGGAAGCTCAAGATAGACTTGTAGGCGGCGGGACAAACCGTCTCAGAGGGAGCTGCGCCTTGGAGGGTTTGCCGGAGGAGTATGCCGCTGCTGTGGAGTTCTTGGGGTTTGGAGAGGAGGTTCCAACATGGATGACGCAAGGGTCTTTCGGTGGGCGTCTGGAAAAGTGAGGCGCCTTCCGTTGCCCCTCTTTCGACACCAATCCAGTCCCCTGTATCGACGCTTTCAGTCTGCTGGAGTAACACTTTGATCAAGGTGGGAGGACAACACAAATAAATTGAGGAAGTGGCTCGAAAAGCTCAAAGTTTGGAGGTGGGCGAATGCTTCTGCATCTCCACCACATCCTTATGCTTTATTCAACATGCCAACTCTGCGTGAGGACCCGTCGTCATATCTTGGCGCAAGGTCTCGGCCCCTCCGTACCAAGGCCACTGGCTTCTTCTCAGGGCGGGCGTCAACTGCCGGCAGATTCAGCGCCCCGTACCTGTGCTCATGCCATCCAATGCGCACAGTTCAGGCTCGAGCGCAAACTTCCGGATATCCTTCAACTCTTCCCGATCCCCCTGATAGAGCACGCACCCTTCTAACCCACGAATCATGAGCCCAGGCCCTTCCGCGCAGCCTTGTCCCTTGTAGCGGCCGCACTCTCTTTCAAATACTCAATTCCCTCCTTTGTAGTCACCTCGGGCTCGTTCCCGACTCTCAATTGCCCGCCGTTTGTACTGCTCACCGGTTTCCGGGGGCCATCCTCCAGCGGGGAACCACAGTCGTCGAGGATCAGGTAACCCTATCCAGTTTCCTCGATAACCCCGCCCAGCAGCCCCCCCTCTTTGCACAAGCACGAGTCTGCCATGGGGCCCCACTTTCTGAGATACCCTCTAAGCTCCTTGAGCTCGGTTGCCGTCTGCATGCTTGAGACCTCTTCTCCTTCTGCACACTCCAAATAGACTTGCTGATCGCTGACGGTGACGAAGAACCCGAAGCATGTGTCAGCGAAACACCTTTCGCACTCCATTGCCAGCGACCGACCACAAGTACAACTGTTGGTGCTTGGCGAGGTAGAAGCGCGTCTTCTCCTCTTCGGTGGTGAGGGGCGTCACCAGTATGCCGTGCCTATTGAAAGCGGCCCTGTTGAAACTCGTGGTAGGGAGGTCGTAGTGTAGTTGAGTTACTCTTCATCGGGTCTTATCGTGTTGCCTGACACCTATGCTCATCACTCAATGATGGCAGCCATGCATCCTAAGACACACGAAGCGCCTCACAAGCGGCTTCCTTCTCTCCACAACCTTCTATTGGAATGATGTATCACATTGGTGGTTTTCACCAAGTGTTAAGAGTCTTACGGGTCTCTTCCGTTCCACTAGGCTCACTAGCCTACTAGGCTTACTAACCTAAACGTCACAAACTACTTGGCTTACTAGCCTAGCTCACAATCACACTCAATCTTAGTCTTCTATGCACTTATCTACGGCTTACACTGACGGCCGCTCTCAACCGCCTAACCTTCAAATCGCCAAACGGTTTAACCGCCTAACCGCCGTTCGTGCACGCCGGCGCTCACTAGTTCAAACTCAACTCGGGTCGAACCCTAATCACATAGTAATCCGGCTGATCATAATCACCAAATTCTAACACTTCCACTTAGACGAATTTACTCTAAGGCCTCTAACTCGTCACGCTTCTCTTGCGGGCTGTCTTCTTTGCCTTTGGCGTCACCCAGACGCCTCCACTTTTGCCATCTCTGCTCTTTTGGTAGCGCACTGCGTCGCTCTTCTCCGACCGACGTCTTTTCCACTCCGTGCTCCGGCTTTTCGGCTCCCACGGCTTCCGCTGTTGCTCCCACATTTGCTCGATACCACTTCGCGGGCTCCCGTCGCACTTTTGCGGAATATCTTTCCAACTTATTGGACTCCACTACAGGCTTCTCTGTTGCCTATTCGACACCGGCGGGCTCGCTCTCTACCGCCGTCTTTGGGCTCTCATTGCCCTTTCCGATCTCCTCGAACACTTTCACAACTTCTTGCACAATTTCCACAATCGGCCCACATTGGCCTCTTTTTGAATCTGTGCGCTCGGCGCAACCGCGGTCCGTCGCGGGCGCGTGCGCATCTTTCTCGCGCTTCACTTCAAACTCCGCCCCTTTTTCGACCATTTCGGGATATGTACGCGGCACCTCATCCGCCCCCACAGAAGTTCCTCTCTCGTTCGACGCCCCCATTTTCGTTGTCTAACTCGTCTAGGTCGAGCTCCACGACCTTCACCGTCTTTCTCACCACGCTTCCGCTTTATCGGCCCCTTTGCCGTGGCGCACACCCGGTTCCCCTTTACCTGACCCCTTGCAAAAAATGCTCTCTGCTTCCTCACGGTCTCAATTTCCCACAGTCCCCCACGCTTGACTGCCTCCATACGGACCAGATTGTCCGTTTCAATTTGGGCGGTTCTCCCTCGAGCACCACCACACGTGCTCTTGCGTCGATCGCTCTCGTCAGAGCGAACAAAGTCGCATGTGCCCTCCGAGCGTGCCAAACCTCCCACAACGTTACCGGACTCACACCGCTTGGGGTCTTCTACTTGAGCTCCATTTCTCCAATGCCCACTGCGATTAGAGACTCAGCACAGATCCTCACGATCTTTTCGTCACGCACGAGCTCTTTGTAGCTCGTGAAGTGGCTCCTTTCGGCCGTAACATGCTGGGTGCTGCCCGAGTCGACAATCCACACCCCTTTGCGCACATCCCTATCGTTGCCCCACGCCGTAAAAGCTACTCCATTTGCATCCTCCGCAGAAATTCTCTCCTCCGCACGGCCACTTGCGCGCGCAATCTGCCTACACACCGCCTCCGTGCAGCCCCTCTTGCCGCACTTGCGGCACTCCGCATCACGCACCTGCACTTTCCCTTCATGTGGCACACATTGCCAGAACAATAGCACGTTGGCGGGTTTGAGCTCCCGCCTCTTACCTCCGAGCTTCCCCGGCCCTTCTCTGAGCTCGAGTAGCCTTATGCTGGCGGCATAAGCCACCGCTCCATCTTCAAGGAATCCCCTCCAAGGACCCCGCTTCAGCCCTCAACTTTAGCTTGTGCTCCCTCTGCATTAGCTTTGGCCGGATCTTATCTAGGTTTAGTGCTGGTGGCAATGCAGATCCGGATGAGGAAATGTAGGAAGAAGAGTGAGTGAATCATTAGCAAAGCACAACGGTGCTGATCGTGCGCTCCACTTTGATGGACCATCATTACTTGCACAAAAATCATAATTTGTGCAGTCATCTGCACCATTGCCCGTGCAGCCATCGCAGTCATGTGGTCCTAGACTAGCAGTTATGGTGGGAGGAGGCCTTCTGATCCCTTCCTTGCCTCCCCCCTACTAATCCGTACTATGGACGGGGGTACAATATGTTAGGCAATGGCCTCTCTCCTCCACTCCCCCACCTCCGCCCCGCACCATTGATGATCGACTCGGTCCAATTCAGTTGAATATTGCTGCGGCATTTGCAGGTGAGGGTGGCAATGGCCTATGCCCTTTTCCTTCATGCTTCTAAACACGAGCCATGGCCCATCTCGATCTGTGCGACCGCCGGAGATGATGTCCCCAGGCCTTCCATCTCTTGTATTCCTCTCGCAACAACGGCTCCTCCGCCTCCGTTGGCTTTCTTGGAATATGACCCAAGTGTTGATCGCTTTATATATGCATTTTTGAATGCAAGAGCAATGCAATGATGCATCGAGAAATGCTTGTGATGGGCCACGGTAATCTCACGATCCCAGCAAGTGTATTTCCCGCTCCCCCCCTCGCCCCCCCCCCCCTTTCTCCTCCCCCTGACCCTATTCGGCCTCAAGTGCAACATGTTGCCCCTCTTGGAACCCCCTGATTTGCTCAGTTCGTGCCTGCACCACCCTCGGGTTATGCCCATGTTCTGTTAGTGGCCCAACCGCCTGTCCTGATGCCCCCTGCACGTTTTCCCACGCATGGCATTTTGAGCGCGCCGCCGTCGAATGTCTTGTGGCGCCAGTCGCTGCTCCGGAGGATACATTTTCGCTGACCGGGGCGCCTTCGACTACTCCAGCCCGCAACTTGCTCCAGTCGGGCCGGTTGGCCTCGACTATACACGTTCTTCCCGATTCAGCCCCCAAAGCCCCTTTTGATTGATGATTTTCTCATTCAATGCTCTAAAAGTGCTTTCCCTCCAAAGGAAAAGCGCCTCAAAAGCTCGTCTTAGATAGTGTCACTGAGGCGCAATCGCGACTTATCCGACATGTCATGTCAGGCGATGTGGCGAGACGTAAGACAAAGTGGTCCGACCTGCCAGCGTGAAGACATCCAAGCGCCTTCAGACAGCCGTGCAGTGGGATTTAGGGCCCAAAAGATGCTCAATATCAGATTTGATGCATGACGCTTGTCTTGAATGCGAGGTGCGGGGACAAGGATGGCCTTTGGAAATCTTTTCGATTTTTATATTTCTCACCACACGACGAACCAATGGGCAACCGGCACCCCGTTCGACAGTCTCTGCCAGACGCGCATGGAGCACTTTGCGGCATGGCAGCCTCTTAAAGTGAAAAATTGAGCAAATCCTTTCAGTCCTTTTCCTTTCTGGTTTGCGCCGCGGTCCAAAGCAATGGCTTCGTTTGGTCCACCACCCAACGATGCTTTGACCAGTGGAACAACTAAACCTGTGTCTTGGGTACGGCTTGCCCCCGGCTCGCGGGCACAAATGCCTCTGCGGCGACTTGGGCTTACGCCCCAGCCTTTGCGGCTATCGCGCAGTTCGAATGTTATACGTACAACTTGGTTTGCATTGCGCGCGACCAAATTCAGTCTGCGCTCCACTCTGATATTATTGCCATTCCAATCTTTCTCCTTGATGACAATCGAACATCAGCTTTCGGGCGCAGTTTTGGCCCGGTCCCTAAAATTGAAACGATTGTACGACTAATTCACAATGTTTCACGGCCGCTTGGTCGTTCGCTAAATTTATGATGCGCAGACGCAACCCAACTTTTCATTACACTTTGTAGATGACACAGTGCGGCTCATGAGCAGTGGGTGCTACAAGGCAAAGGTCGAACATTAAAGCGGTCTATCGTCACGTCCCCACTAATCTGTCTGATTGCAACAGATTGGCCTTTTGAAAACAAATCGGGCTTTTGTTGGCCAACGATTGCTCGGACGATATGTATTTAGACGGTTTCCTGCTGTTCGGTTCGAAAAATGCTTGTGAGGTATGCAATTGCGTCGGGCAAGCATTTGTTAGATGATGAAACGGCTATGTTTTGATTGCATCATTGTCTATGCAGACGACTTCCTCAATCGCGTCGATCAAGCAGTGGCTTGGTTGCATCTTGAGCACTCCGCAAATTTCTACGTAAACTCGGCTTCAAGAGTCAATATACGGGCGAATAAAAGTATAACTCCATGTCAAGGCATCGAGTTTCTTGGTATCACATTGAATTCCGTGGCTATGCAAGCTTGCCTCAATTGTGAAAGTTTAGCTTCTCCTCCTCGCGTGGTCATGAAACCTTGCAGCATGCTAGTATTCCGCGTTGTAATCGAGAAACTTGAATGGCAATTTGGATTGATTTGCAAGGTTTATATGGCGGCCGTAATTTTCAACGTTGATTTAGTGATATGGAGTGAAATCCGATCCCATTAACATGTTCGCATTTCTCCAATCTTCTTCTCAATTGTGAAATGTGGCAACAATTTTGCCATAAATTAGCGGTCGAACTGATTTATATGCTACTAAACCCTTTTCTTTGCATGACTTATCGACCGATACTTCCTCCAGCTATGGCTATGGTGCCTTTCTCATGGGGACATTCTCCCTTTCATCGTTGCAAGCTCTCTTTTCGGATGCACCCAAGCCGGTCAAACCTATTCACATACACGAAATGTCTGTGGTTTTCATTCTCGAACAATTATAGTATTCCACCGCATTGAACGGTCAACACATTCGTTTGCACATTGACAATACTATTGTGGTATTGAAAATCAACAAGGGCACTGCGAAAGCGGTAAGTGGTCCACGCATAATGGAATATTTGTGAGCTATTTTTTGGATGTCTGCACGCCATGACATTCGACTAACAGGTTGTTATTTTCAGCAAGAATGAATTTTTTCTTAGATGCGTTGTCATGCGGCAAATTCACTCGATTTCAGAATCTACTTACGGAATCCAGATTCGTCCGTGTTTGGACCTACGCTTTTGATTTTCCTTCTAGCAATCTCACTTGATAGCCTCTGTTGAGATACGGGCATTTAGGACCG